CTTACCATGTTTCAAAAAATCCTTTGGAAGTAAGTACTCTAAATATTTGCAAGGAGGGTAAAAAATGGTGACTTTTAGTCACTTTGATATCAATTTGAATAATTTGGCCTATCACAGCAGAAAAGTTGATCATGGAAATCTTTCTTCATAATGGTGCTTTATCCAAAAAGCCAAGGTGGATGTATCTTATTGTTTACAAACAACCTGAACAGCAAAGGACTTAGCACAAAGTATGCCATGGCAATAATTCTTAGAGTGTCCTAGTACCTTCACTCAAAGATTCCTCTTCTGAGAAAGCAATCAATTTAGTCTTACTTGTCAGAAAATAAAAGAAATTAATTTTTCCTGGGGCTTCCTTCTCAAAGTGTGGCTTTTGAGAAATTACCATTTAACCTTTTTCTTTATAAAATGGAAATATCAGTGCTAATATACTGGCCAAGATACTATGAAAAGGTATTTAATGTTTTCTAGAATCCCAGGGCTTAGCTATATTTTTGCACAGTTGACATAACATTTTTTGTTTTTCACTTTAGAGGTTACTTCAAGGCCAAAAATGTAGTACTATGTATGTTTGGTATTGATTGTTTTCTAAAAAAGGAAATTATAGCTTAGGGAAAAGGTTTTTTTTTTCATAGCCCTTTTCCATATTGAAATAGAAAAAGAAAGAACAGCTATGATATAAGCCTTTTTTTTTTCAGTAAAGACAAAATTCACGTTTCATTTATGGGAAAGTTTTGCAGAATCACACTGACGAAAAGTGATTTTTGCTTTGGCTTTTCTGTGAAGTTGTTGAGAAACGCCAAAAATTACTGGCAGTGCTTTTGTATAAAAACTTCACATGGATTGCATTTGTAGTTTTGCCAAGTACGTAACTCAGGTCATCAGTGACACACATATCCATGCATTGGACTTGGTCAGTGAACAGAAATCTGTCATGAACACTAGATATAATATTACATTATAGATAGACCAAACCACACAGATTACAGTGAGGTAAGCCTTGAATTGACATGCTTTGGAGTAGGGGCTCCTAATCCCTACTCCCATAGATGGGAAAGCCAGTTGTTTACTGATTTTGACAGCGACATCACTTGGCAAACGTTTTGGCGTACATTCAGTCTGTGACATCACTCGCCTTTAGGTTTTTCCACATGAAAAATGAATTCTCTGAAGAAAACATGGAAATTGAGCCTTAATTAGAAATCCATTATTATACCCTCTAAGAGGCCATTAATTACCTCACTCACATAAAATAAAAATTTTTGTTAATTTTTTGTTAAGTAAATATTATCTAACATTTGTAAGTGCAGTGCTAAATGTGCAGTGACTTTTAAAGTTTCAGTAAGATAATACTTCAAAGTTATCCTTACCCAAACTCCTTTTATGGAGCTTGTAATATTTTCTTTCTTTGTACTTTTGGAATCACTGATTGGAGGGTGGTTTACAGAACTATGATGAAGGAAGTAAATTCCTTATTACAAACTAGCTTTGGTTTTATGAGGGGGGAGTAGTTTTGTGCTTGAGAAGAAGTATTCAATAAAGTTGGAAGGACTCAATAAATGGTGTGTGTGTTGTCTGAGAATGACATGAATAGTATTTCCATCCTGTGTAAGCACCTCTTCTGTGTATATTGCCCTAAAGTTATTTGTTTCCTCCACTTCCTACTTAGATTAATGGTGTTTATTAATTCCTTTGATGCCCAAAGTCAGCTATGCCTTATGATGCCTGCAAATCTTTTACCTAAGGGAGAGGACTCAGGAGGACCCATGTCCCAATAATGCCAAGATAAGGGAATCATGATGTTGTACAGACAGAGCAGAAGAATGATCTGTACCATGTTGAGAATAAATAGGATTAACATTCTCATACTCAAAGTGCTCCATCTGGAAGCTGTTCTTTGGCAAAGAGAAAAGGGTGACTATTCTCGGATCCCTAGAATTATTGAATAGGGAATGGGAGTATTCATCACTTTTCCCTATTTTTTGGTAAGGGTTGTTCTCTTTCATTATTCTGCAGGATAAAAATGTTTTCTGTCCTTAATAATTGAAAAATACTTTTATTCAAGTTCTTTCTCTTAACCCTCTTGGATATATGCAGAAATACCGTTCTTAATGTAGCGATTCCATGGTTTATAATTTGCATTCATTACACTGTTTTTCTTTTCCTCAAATCTATGCCCTTATCCCAGTTGATCTCTTGTTCTCAATGTACATTTCATTGTACTTAACTCTCTTTTGCCTCTTGACATTGCATTGTTACTTGTGGATAATTCTCAGACTTCCTTCAGAAGAAGCAGGAGTATAGCAGTGACTATTAAACTGTGCCACCATCAGACCGATATATTATCACCTTAAATCTGTGTCATCTTGCATCATTGTTTATGTGGTACATTTCTTGATCAGGGATAGTCCACTCCTCTGTTCTGTGGTATGGAGCACTCACCATGGTTCAGTAATGAGAGATGATAGGAAGTGTCTGTTCCACAAAGGAGTGCCAAGAAAGTATGAAGGCCAAACTGTGGCTATGGGTGCCAAACCATTGGTTTTCAAAATAGTATTTTATATAACATTGACTCATTGAATAACAAATCTTATACTGCAATAGCTGAGTCAAACTTTCCTTGGGTGCCAGACTTCTTGTGTCCCTTTAATTTGCCTTGGAAGATATTTTCAAGTCCATGAGGGGCAGAGTAACTAAATCCTCATCTCTGTAGTGAGTAGAAAACATCATTATGAGTGTAGAGTAAAAAAACTGGATGTGAGGAACATGGATTTTTTGGCCTCCTGGCCCAGAGTATAGCATGAGGTGCACTGAAAAGAAATGCCCTGTTGGTGATCTAGATAAGATGCAAATTGTAAGCAATTACATAAAGCAGTTGAAACTACTAGTATTTTAGAAAAAGGAAAATCACAAATAAATTTTTTGGAATTTGTTGGAATATAGCATCATTAATTCTGTGAAAAGAGTAGGAATGGAATAACAGAATTGGTATGAAGATTCAGTATTCTTGAACATTGCCATAATTGGTTATTTTCTATTTTTTGCAGTATTGATATAGAAAGCTAATTGTTCTTTCATTAATATGGATATGCATATTTTTGTTTATAACAGAGGATGATTAAAGTAGAAACAAATAAGCTACTATGCATATAGTTATAAAATATTTACTAATTGATCTTTCCTTTTCTTCAGCCAAATTTCTCATATTGTAAGTTTACATTTTGAGCTTCTGTGTTCTCATTTCTTATTTAATCTTTAAAGTGCTATGATTTGGCTTTTCCCAACACTGTTTTTTTTTTTTGAAAGGACATTCCCCACTGTCTTTTTGGTTGCCAAATACTGGGACATTTTCTCGTCCTTTTCTGAATTATTTGGTGCTACTTGACTGCTCTATATTGCCTGAAGTTCTCTTCTTGTTTGGTTTCTTTTTTTCCTTTCTCTTCTGTTTCTTTCAGCTCTCTACCATTCTGCCTTTAACTCTAAAAAACTGCCACACATTAATTTTTTTTAAATTTTATCTCAAACTTCTCTCTCATCACCATACCAACACCTATAGCTTCAGTTTATACTAACTGCAACTCATATTCCCTGCCTACTGTTTTACAGACCTATTTTTCCAACTAGGTATTGTCTTCAGATATAGCTTTCTTTCCACTGGATCTTGGAAAATACAAGGAAATATCTTATATCAATATGTCTGAAACAGAATCGCCTCCTTTTAAATCATTCTTTCATACCCAAATCCTGCTACAACAAAATGCTGTCCCCATTCTTATTATTTTGTTCCTTGGCAAGTAATCAGAAGGGCATAATAAAAGATTCTTGTTTTCCTCACTCACTTTATAAGCAGTTCAGCTATACCATCTCAACTGGATAATATTGACCATACAACAATATTTTTTTTCTTATTTCCATTCCAAGCTTTCTCATCCTACAGACATTGAAATCATTGAATTTAAAGCATCTGATGTCTTCTTTGTTGTCTTACTGATTTTTTTTTGGTGGATTGAGGGTGTCTAGACACCACTCGAGGTGGTAATCTAGAGGCAGTCTCAAGGGCTCTAGAAGGCACTCCCCAGCGACTCTTTGTGGTTCATTGTGATGGACCAAAAGGTTGTAGGGCTGCTCGCATCTTCCAGAGCTGTGACAGCAACGCTTGGAAGACCCCGTGGTGCTGGGGATCAAACTGGCATTGTCTGCATGCAAGACATGCACCCTCACCCCTGTACTATCTCTCTGGCCTGCATCATGATTCTTCAATAAAGCATACTTGGGAACTGGGGTGATATTAGAGGATATCGGGTGTTTCAGTGGCGCACATGGGTTCAATTCCCAGCATCCTCTGTAGTCTGAGATCCCTGACAGGAGTGATCAGTAAGTGCAGACAGAGTCAGTAAGTCCTGAGCACTGCTAGTTGTTGCCAAAAAATTGAGAGAGAGAGAGAGAGAGAGACAGACAGACAGACAGACAGACAGACAGAGACAGAGACACAGAAACAGAGAGATTCCCCTTCTTGCTTCTTTCCATTTGTCACTTGTTCCTTCTTGTCAACAATATAAAGTCCAACTACTTGTAGCTAGTCTTTGCTTTTCTCATTCTTCATTCACACCTAGTGTTGCAACCACCGGAAAAGCTTGGGTTCCTTTAGTGTACCTACTGCTTTCTTACCTCCATCCTATAAGGCTTATTTCTGTCCCTGCACTAGCTATAATTTCCTTGCCTTTGTGCATAGGGACTGGATCTCCATTTATTTCCTCGTTTGTTGCCTTTCACAAGGCTTTCCCATGAAGAGTTGGGTACCCAGCTAGATTATTCCCATGGTCCTATCACACTTTGTTATTTTTGCATTGTGCTAATAGTCTTAAAAGTCTCATTTTCCTCACTATAAGATTTTGGTGAACAGAGACTGTGTTATATTTGTCCTTGTGTCACTGTATTCCATAATGAGGAGTTAATAAGAGTATGCAGAATAAGTAATGTATTGTCTAAGGCAGTCTTACCTTTCATATTCCTGTTCTAGTAAACTTATGAACGCATCATTCTTCTCCATGTATTCTTTGTGTTTTCTCCTTTCTTCCTCCAACTCCAGTATGGTTTGTCTGTGAGAATTTTCTGCCATTAAAAGCTGGTCCAGGATTCGTCTGTATGATTCCTTATATCTTCCCATGACTTTGTCCAACTACAAAAGAACATGTGGTTATGTTATGTTAAGTAAAAATTCACACAATAAAAATTACTCATAGTGCTGCCACCTTTTACTCAGCTAAACATGTGTAGGTTTTTTCTTTCTTTCTTTTTACTAAGTCAGCAGTGGGTTTTAGACCTTATTTAGCCTCTATTACTTATTTTCCTAATTGAAAACCTTTTGATGCATTTCAACACCAATGTAATATTTTTAATGTAATATATTTAACTATCCTTACAATTTTCCTAGAGTGAATAATTGGTGCTTGTGGAGGTATCAAAACAATTTCCACATACCTCTTTGCTGACAGTTTCTCTCCACAGAAACCATAAAACCATAAAATAGGAATGATGGTAAGGGAGGGAATCCCTGTATAAATGTTTGATTCTGCCTGAGTTGAGCTATCTTAGATATTTCTCCTTCCCAACCCTCCATATATTACTCACCTGTATGTGCCTCTTGACTCGCATCTGCGGTCTGTTTCGCTATATTATGCATCAAGGTGTGTGTGTGTGTATGTGTGTGTGTGTGTGTGTGTGTGTGTGTGTGTGTTTAATCAATAATCAATTCTGATTGGGTATGTAGTGTGACTGTGACCAAATATAAGTGTCAATCCTTCCTGATTTCCATTTCCTTTTTATGTTTCTGTTATAAAATAACAGTGTGTGTATATATATATGTATGTATATATGTGTATATATGTATACATATATATATATATATATATATAAATGGCGCGCTTCTAATAAGATTTACTTGACAAAGAATCTAAGGCATAAAATGGCCAAGCCATTTCATAAAATGAGCATAACAAAGATAGCCCCACATCTGAAACCCAACTAATTCTCACTTCTCTAAATATTTAGGCTGATTGTCGAGTTTTCTAGTGTGGTTTGTAAAAGTGATTTAACACGCTTTTGAAAAAAACTTTATAATATCACTTTATAATATTGCCTGTTTCAATAAATGCAGTCAGTGCTTTGGTGGAAATGAAGAGTGCTTCAACAAAGCAACACAGTTGAACAGCCCCTGTGCTTTTGCATTGCTTGTTGGTAGTAGCTGTTAACTCATGATCATTTTCTGAGGGGGAAATTGTAAGTTAATTTCCTGGATTTCAAGTCCTCCAAAATAGTCAGAGAAATTCAAATCAGCCACTTTTTGAATTTGAGAATGACGTAGTGGCAGAATAAATATTAATTTTAAAAATTGCTAATTGGGACCAGAGAGATAGTACAGTGGTAGGTCCTTTGCTTTATTTCACCGTTTCAATTCCTAGCACCCCATAGCAGCTCCTGAACTCTGCCAAGTGGTGATCTTTCAGTGTAGAGCTAAGAGTCCTTGAGCACTACTGGGTGTGGCCCCAAACCAAATATTTAAATAAATAAATTGGCAGTTGACTTAGAAAGACATTTAATTTTTCACACATTCTGTCCAAATTAATAGGTTAGTAATTATTACAGTTTAGTAATCATTACAGGATTACAGTAATCATTACAGATATGTAACGAATTAGAAATGAAAAACTAAAGGAGGCTTGAATGAAAAAAAAAAAAGATTTTTATACTTGATCACTTTTTGTAACTATATGGGCATGGGCCCAGAGAGAGAAAACTCAAATCTTATTTAATCCACTATTGATTTTCATTGTTCTTTTTCACCCTTAGTTGTTTGCTTGATGGGTCTCTGGGTCAGGAAGTTGGAAAAGCTCCTTTCCCTTTATTAGTTCTGTGACTAATGGTCTCTGCTACTTCAGCCTCATCTCTTCCATCCTACTCTCTGCAGTGACAACCTGGTCTTCCATTTGTAGGTTTATGCTACTTTCCTCTTCAGAGCTAAAATTGTCTTTCACCCTCTAACCTTTTGACATTCAGCCCTATTCCTATTGAGACCTTCCTGTCTTTTTTGTTTTGTTTTGCTTTGTTGTGTGTGTGTGTGTGGGGGGGGGGGGGGGCGGAGGGCATGTTTGGCAGTGCTCAGGTTTCCTGCTGGCTCTGACTCTGTGCTCAGGGATCATTCCTGTTCGGGCTTGGGGGACCTTTTGGGTTAGTGGGATTGAACCTGCAAATGGTCTTTCTACTATACTAACCCTCCAGCCCCCAGAACTGCCCTTCTTTCTCACCAAACTTGCAGCCATAATGGACTCGGGAAGTCTGTCAAACATTCTACGGTGCTTCACTCAGTTCTGAGAACTAGAAATCTTTCTCCTTTTCTACACCAAACTTACCCTGTTCTTTGTAGCTTTTTCTGATCGTTCTTGTTTTGTTTTATCAGTAGCATGCCTAATTTCCTAAGCTTTCCGTTTATCATATTCCAATACCCTTGAAAAATATCTTGAATTTACTGTTCGCTTTTTGGTGCAACCACAGAGAAACTCATGCTTGTCAGCAGCAGTAAAATTTAATTTAAAACAATTTTTTGGTGTAGGGAGAGCGTCTTCAGTGACTGTCAGGGGTCCAAGGCCACCCGGATGATGGAGAGGTGGCAGGAGAAGGCGGGGCAGCCTGTGTTACCAGGAATTGAACTTGGGCCCTGTCTCTTTCCAGGCCTGTGCTCTATCTCCCCAACTCAGCAGCAATGATTCTAAAACTTGAACAGTGATGGGAAAAGTTTAGTTGTTACCTTGCAAAGGGAAAGTTCCCAAAGAGTCACTAATTGTAGTTATTTCAGCAGATAATTGAAATTTTGGAGCACTTTTATTTCTCTATAATCATAAAGAATGCCTTCTGGAAAATATGCAAGTCATTCTCAATTCACTGTCTTCTCATTTCTGATCAACCAAACGAGGGCCCTGGTGCTTCCGGAACTAGCTGTATTTTCCACTCCCTATGTGCCTGAGCTTGGTCAGCCACTTCAGTATTTTATCCTTCAGGCATTTCCTTCATAAATTAAGTGCTTGGATTTGATTTCTACAATCAGTTCTAATACCACAGTTCTTTCAAGGCTACAGCTATGGGTTAACTGCTGTGCTGCATATACTTAGCACTGTGATGGGTTCCTTGAGGAATACGAGATAATTTGAAGTTTTGATGCCTCCACCCTGACCAGGAAGATAATATACCTGCACATGACACCATTAGGGACAGTTTAGGGGGAGTAGGGGGAGGGTATCATGTAGTGTTTAGGGACTATATGAACCACTCTTTTCTTTTTTTTTTTAATCTATTTTACTTGCAAAATGGATCAAGCTAGAAAAGATGAAATTTCTTGAGTGTTTCAGAGGGTGTTAAGGACAGAAAAATTTTGAAAGATGTCTTTTTCATGTTAGCTGTGCAATCACTTCTGCTCATTAATCCAGTCCTTAATGTCCTGTGTCCTGACCCTATTTCCAGACACAACTGAAATCCGTACCCAGGACAAAGCACAATGTGTTCCTTAGGTTAGATCCCTGGAGGTTCTTCTCTGATCCAAGTGCATAAAGAATCAAGGCTCTTTCCATTTTTTTGCTTTCAGTTACTTAACGTGTGTTTAGAAAAAAAAAATAATTACCTTTGTTTTATTACCTTCTGAATCACAAACCACCCTCATTTTTTGAGTTGAATCTTTGCACTGTTATTTTCTTTCTCTTTCTTCTTTACCATCGGCTCTTAGAAGATTGACCTCTTTTTTGTTTTTGTTTTTTGTATTACCATGAATATATGGATAGAGATTAAACTAATACAGAAGACAGAGAAATTATCCATTTTAGCGGACCCAAATAATAGAAACGATATTCACAAAATGCCTGTTCTTCCTTCACTTTTCTGAACCCTGTGTATGTTTGATTATAATACTGGAGTCCTAAAATAGACTTCCATCATCTCATTGCTTTGGTATCTTAGATTCAGGGCGGATGTTGAGGAGGGGGGAGTCGGAGGGGGAAGAGGCATGATTTCTTTACACTGTAGAGCAGTTGTAGACCCTCTGAAAGTTCTTGTGTGTCTTCATTGTCACTCTGAACAGTGATAGTCTTCTCTCCTTTTGGTCATCTACTAAGCCACAAGTCACTGGCTTCCAGTCTATCTTTCCACCCCTAGACAGGGTAACATACTGGGTGATTTGCCGGTTTAGCTGATCTCTCATAGGGCTCTTATGCTTCAGCAGCATCTTCCCTCTGCCCTCAAGGCACATGTTTGAAGCTCATGCTTTTTTGTTTGTTTGTTTGTTTGTTTGCATTTGAGACCATATCTGGCACTGATCAGGGATGACAACTGGCTCTGCATTCAGGGATCACTCCTGACATCCTGCCAGGGATCAATCCCAGTTTCACTGTATGCAAGGCAAATGCCTTACCTACTGTACTGTCTCTTTGGTCCCATCCCAGTGGTGTTTTGGAGGTTGGGGGTGGGGGCAGGAGGTGCAATATCTGGTAGTACTCAGAGCCTACTCTGGCTCTGCACTCCAAGATCACACCTGGCAGTTGGACCATAATGGTATGGCCAGTTCTCATGTTTCTTCTGCATTTTTTTTCCTTTTTGGGTCACACCCAGCAATGCTCAGGGGTTACTCCTGGCTTTTCACTCAGTAATTACTCCTGCTGGTGCTTAGGGGAACCATATGGGATGCTAGGGATTGAACCCGGGTCACTGCGTACAAGGCAAATGCCCTACCTGCTGTACTATCGCTCCAGCCCTTCTTCTGCATTCTTAACCCCCTCTACACACACACACACACACACACACACACACACACACACACACAGTTTTTCCCCCATCCCTTTTTAGACCCGTACCCAGCAATCTTCGGGACTTACTCCTGCCTCTTTGCTTGGGGATCACTCTTGGAGGGCTCAAGTAATGTGGTACTGGGGATTGAACTTGGGTCAGCCAGCCTCCAGCCCCTCCAGCCCTTTTTGTCTTCTTCCAGACTTTAGCCCATTATGGTCCTCTCTCTCTCTCTTAATATTTGAAGCCCCCTCTCTCATCAAAGACATGGTCAATCCTGCATTTGAAAAAAGCACATGCATGCAACATATGCAAAACAGGAGGAGGAGTGTTTTCCATATGGCTTAATTTTTAGGGTTCTTCATCTCACAGTATCTTCCTAGGCCATACCTCAGCCCCAGCAGTGTGTTAGCTTTGTCTGATTGTGGCAGGAAGCTGCAGGGACATTGGCTGAACTGCAGAGACTCATGTCGACCTAGCCACATCTAGAGACAGTTTCCTCCATTTCCTGTTGTCTCTAAGAAATGCTAAGCTTGCCACCCTGGGTGAGAAACCTCAGCTGAGCCCAGGAGTGAGTGAAGAGATCACGATCCCCAAAGAGATCATGGCCACCCGTAGGAGCAGGTGTCTTTCTACCTGTGAAGTACTAGAGTACCGTTAACTTTGTTCTCACCTCCGCATGTTTGCTTAGGGTATAAAAAGAGAAATGAGCCCTCATTTGGTGCTCAATACTTTGGATGTGAATCCTGCTGAGCCTGTGCCTGTACTTCATAAAACTTTTTCCTGAAGCCTTTAGTGTCCTGAAACTCCATTCAGGATTCCCAGTACATAGTATTTTGTAAAATTTGTATTAGTAATGCATTTTTCACTTGTAATCTCACAAGACTGCCTTAAAAAAAAAAAAAACCAACAACCTCATCCTACTTTCCTTGCTAGGTAGTTTTGGAGAGCCTGTGAACCTTTCCAGTAGAGGGAAGTTTATGTGGTTCCACACTTATTTCCATAGTTAAGTTATTGCTAGCCATCTTGGTATAGGAAATGAGTCCAGAAATGTTTTACTGACTGCTGTACCATTTTGTCAAAGGTGGCAGACCAGAGATTTTATTGCAAAATGAATATGTCTTCTCATTCCCAATACTGGACACTTGTGGATAGCAGAAAAGTTTTAAAACATATGCAGCCAAAAGCTCTGGAACTTTCCCTTTAAGTTTCTGGCTTCAGGATTTCTCCATGTGAATTGCTTCCATTTCTCCATGCAGTTAAGAGTTCCATCTGCCTGTGCACTTAAGAGTGTGCTCACTATTTTCTCTAATGTTTCAAGTACTTTTAGTGATGTGATTTCATGACATGCAGCCCACCATGTTGCTGGAACTGGAATGGTGATGTTCTACCTGACTAATCCTGCTCATCCTGTGGATCTGACTTTCCTGATACTTCACCATAAGACGCCTGGGGCTTTGTGATTTTTAATCATGGAAGTGAAAAGAAGAGTAATTGTATGCTCCTGTGATCATATTTTATCCTTCATTCAGACATTGGGTGCTCTGAAGACAGGAACCATAAGATTTTTATACAGTAGAAATTACCAAATAATGTTTAAAACTTAAAGTATACAGTTGCAGAAATTATGAACTTGAAGAATAACACTGGACCAGAGAAATAGCTTGAGGTTCAGGGGTACATGACTTGCATGCACAAGACCCAGAGTTCTATCCCTGGCACCATCTGACCCACCAAACACCTTTGAATGTGGCCCTTGTGACCCACAGCACTGTTGCATCGCAGACCACAGCATTGAACTCTCTGACCCTTTTGTTTGAGTATCAGCAGCAGTGACCCTGGATCACTCTGAGGATTGCTTGGGAGGTGTTTATACACACACACACACACACACACACACACACACACACACACACACACATATATCATCATCATCATCATCATCATCAACATCAAGAGAAAACTTCCTTGTTTTTTATAGTACCTTTATAAATTCAAGGTCCAAGGTATTCTATTTTCCTTGATATCCTATTTTGAATAATAAAACTATATTAGAAATATATGAGAATTAAGACTACCTCTTTACTAAGATGAACTGGGTTAGTCAGGAATAGGTGATTGAAGCTGTAGTAGACTCAGCTTTCCTCTCAACAAACCCACTATACCAGTCCCCAACCCCAGCCCCATCCTTTGTTCTAGCTCACAGGCCTCCACCAGTTTTATTTTTATCTGAAGTCAGTTTTTCTACTATCTGATGTAAGTCAGAAGAGTTTGCTTTTCTAAGTTGTTCTCCTTAAAGTAGATAAATTCACTCTAGTTTGTCCGAGACATTGTGGGAATGTTTTACATTTTTCAAAAAGAACATTATGAGCTAAATAAAAGGAGGAAGAATAGAACAAAACAGAAGAAAAATAAACTTTTAGTCTTCAGATCTTTATTCTGATCTCTGTTGCTGCCACAAATGTTCTTCATGGGAATATTGTCCTCTCTTTTCTCCAGCCTTATCTAGGGAATCTTAATCAAATTTCTCCTGCACTCTTTATTCTCCTTTCACATGTTCCTTCCTGGCCAGAAGAGTGTAGGTCACTGGTTCATTAGATAGATAGAGTTAATGGCACTCACAGAATTGGACAGAATCGTGCCGTGAAAAGTAAAATCTATAAGGGGGGAATAAAAGTTGAAAGAAAGTGGACAAATCATATAGCTGAGAAAATTGAGAAGAGCCACCAAAGAAGGATGGATTTGTAAAGGAGCACCCCTATTTTGAGTACTTTCAGGGTGCATTTTGCAGAGTTTGGATTGCCAGCTTTGGCAGAGAGTCGGAGTATTTCCAATTTTTAACAAGTGTCATAGAACTATTTTGTAACTAAAACTTGTTCCGACTGATTTCAGCATAAGTCTGGGATCACTCTGTTCCGTTTCATACTAATGTGCCAAGCAGTTGTACCATTTATGGCATTTTGTTAGTATAGTCGCAGTGATTATTAATTTGCTTTTGTGCCTATGTGGGCTGGGAAGTTGTGTCTAGTGAGTGCTTTTTCAGTCACCGTGAGGGGAGCCAGGATATGGTTTTAACACTATTGACTTGAGTGCAGCTTCAGTTTCTCTTGTTTAAAATTTGGATTAAAACACAAGTCAACAGACTTTGGGTGGTCTCATCCTCACCCCTCTGAGAAACAGATCCATATAACCAAACTCTGTCACAGTTTGGCAAGACAGTAGTCTCCTCATGAGACACCCAAGATGAGAATAGTAAGGATAATAGAGGTCGATTCTGAGGTAGGTTGCCAGAACTTATGTGGGGGAGATTTGTCCAAAATTTGCTTTCATTCTCTCCAGCCTTAACTCAGGCTCCGAGTTGTTTCCTTTTAATAAAAATGAAAAATTATGAAATTTTCCATTGAGGCCTCAAAGGAAAATAGAAGAATAAAATAGGGATGCCAAAAAGTTTCAGAAAAAGTCTGCAAATAAAGAAGCAATCTGTGCCACATCTCGGGATAGTGGTGTCCATGTTGGACTGCTCATCTTTGCCATATTCATTCTTTGGCATTTGGTGGGGAAAGGTCTTTGCTGTCATTAAAATTTGGAAGGAAAAAGAGGGTATGTACTCATCTAAAATATATGCTTTGTAAAACTCTTGGATAGTGCTTCAGATCATTTCCATTCATGCTCAAAATTTCTATGACATAATACTTTAGTGTTTTCAAAGAAATTAACCTCTGTGGTTGAACTTTATCTGTTTTTTATTATAGCCTGAATAGTCTGAATAATCTTCAAGTCCCCCCAAAGTAGTGCAGGTTTGTGGTTAAGGGGAGGAGGAGGAGAAGGGTTTATCATGCATTCGGTAGGTCTTGGTCTAAAGTCAAGATATAAACCAAGAAGCAGAGAGATAGTACACTGGTTAAGGCCTTACATGTAGCCATTTTAATCTCCAGCATCACAAACAGTCCCCCAGGCACCATCAGCAGTGACCCCTGAGCACAGAGCCTGGAATAACCCCTGAGCACTGGTTAAGCCTACTGGAAAAAAAGGTAAACTAGTAAGGAACATCCTGTTCATGATTTGATTGGCCTTCTTTTCTTTTTCAGAGGATGTGTAATATTTTTCTGCTTTCAGTAAATATTAAATGACTTCAAGCGTAAAACTGTGAAGAATAAAGAAAATCTGTATATGCTGTGCTCATCTACCAGGTCCAGAGCTTGCCTGATTAAGTAGTTTTTTTCTTCCTTTCTTTTTTTTTTTTTTAATTTTATTGAATCGCCTTGAGATAGCGCAGATACTGTGAGCTTATCATGTTTGGTCCATTATCTACTTTCAGCACACATCTCCCATCCCGAACGATTCCTTGACTACGAAGGAGTCATTCCCTTTCTCCTCCCACGTGCATGCATTGATGGGATACATACCTCATTCATTGGTTTTTCATAGACGTCCTCTTTCCATTGGGCAGATTTTGCTTGAATAGCATCTCTCTGGAGAGCCTCCAGCACCTTCTTTGGAGTGACAAACCCATATTGAGCTTCCAAGGAAGCCAAGTCCACTTTTTCAGCCTTTAGAATGGTTATGATTTCATCTCGAGCCTGGAAGAATGAAAATCATTTCAGAAAGGTGACTATCTACCAACAATCTTGCAAGTACATCTTTTTTTTTTCTTTTTTTCTATTTGGGTCATACCCGGCGATATACAGGGGCTGTCATGGCTCTGCATTCAGGAATTACTCCTGGCGGTTCTCAGGGGACCATATGGGATTAGCCATTTTAATCTCCATTTTAATCTCTCTGGGAATCGATCCCCAGGTTGGCCACGTGCACCCTACCCGCTGTGCTATCGCTCCAGCCCTTAAAGTGCCTTTTAGTGATATTTAACTGTTTTTTCCCCTTCCCTTTCAAATATAAACAAATAATATCTGATTATAACAATTTTCATAAATGTGACAAAATCATTATTCCTCCTTTTTACACTTTAATTACACAATAAAATCTAAAAAAAGCATTCACTATACAACTTGGATAACTGTATTTTTCATTGTGTTTGACATGTAGATAATATGTACCTCTCAATGGACTGACATTTGCATTTTCAGGAGTAAGAAATACAGTTCTCCCATATAGGTAGCAATGGCTTTTGATTTTTTAACAGTTATTGGTGCCAGGACAAGTCTAAAAACTCATTGGCATGATGCGTGCAAAAGCCCCCGTACTATTTAAGCCAACCCAGAAATCATCTGGTACTATTGTGAGCCATACATGCTATGCACTGAAGCTCATGAACAGTAAGGGTAGAGGGTGTGACCTTTCACAATGTGCATGCCAGTCTCATGTCATAATGACAGCCTTCTTAGTTGTGATTAATTGCTCTTTGAGTTGGCAGACGAGAATTCTTTATATGTGTACTTATACTTTGTTTTCATGTACAGACAAGTATGAACCACAGGTGTCCATTTCTCTGGCCCCCCTACACACACACACACACACACACACACACACACACACACACACACCACATTCACGAGCAGCCTTTCCCTTGAAGTCTGCAGGAGAGAATTCCAACTCAGCCAACCTGCAGTTCTCCTTCCAGAATGCTGAGAAGAAACAATAAGTCGTCTCTTGAAAGATCTTCTTGTTGGTGACCGTTACCACCGTGTGGCTTGGGACTAGGAAGGATTGCGTCTGGCTCCCGCTGGGGGTCTTTGTTGGGCTGTGTCTGCTTTCTGTCTTCACATCTTTGGGAACTGTGCTCTTTAATTCGTCTGGGAAATGCCTCGTGAGCCGAGCTCTTCTCCCTGACACTGCTTCTAGAACGCATTCTTTAAGATCTGGAAGGAAGGAAGGAAGGAAGGAAGACATTTGTAACTCTTAATGGAAGTGGAGCTTTAATAACAGCTCCTATAACTTTTTTTTTAACAAGTCTGCACACTTGTTATATTTATGGCAGCCAAAGACTGCATCTCTCTGATGTCTAGAGTAAAAAAGGAGCATTAGCAGATTCATAAATCACAGACTTGTGTACACTTCTGTTTTAAAAATCAACATTAAAAAAATCGTTTTGCTTTGATTAAGATCATTTGTGGCTATGGGTAAACAAACAGTATTTGAAATCATCCACCAGTCATTTCACTTGGAGACTCCAGGTAGACCTCCAGACTGTTTATTTAACATCATTGTAATCTTAAATGTTTTTTGATATAATCGCAAAGTGGCAAAATTGGGAACGGTTTGAAGTTTTTTCAGATTCACATTTTAAAGTTTTCAAAATTTTCTTAGCCTTTGATGACTTTCAATAGAAGTGTCAGAACTCTTGGGTTATTTTGTTATGTCTTATTTGTTTGTTTTGGGGCCACACCAGGCGATGTTCAGGGGTTGCTCCTGGCTCTGTATTCAGGAATTATTCCTGGCAGTGCTCAAGGAACCGTATGGAATTCTGGGGATCAAACCCAGGTCAGTTGCGTGCAAGGCAAGTGTCCTACCCACTGTACCCTCTCCAGCTCCTGCATTATTTTGTTATGATAACAGAAATTTTCACTACACTTGATCTTAGCCAAAAACTGGAGCGATAGCACAGCGGGTAGGGCGTTCGCCTTACAAGCGGCCAACATGGCCGACCCGAGTTCGATTCCTCCGCCCCTCTCGGAGAGCCCGGCAAGCTACCGAGAGTATTCGATATGCCAGACACAGTAACAACAAAGTCTCCAATGGAGACGTTACTGGGCCCGCTCGAGCAAATCGACGATCAACGGGAGGGCCTTTAATTTAATTTAATTAATTTTAATTTAACAGAAATTTTCATCTGTTTCTTGGGTTTTGAGGATTTCATTTTTGTTTTTATTTTGTTTGGGGTTTGGTTTGAGGGCTGCGCCTGGTAATACTCAGAGGCTATTCTCAGATTTGTGCCCAGAGCTTGCTCCCAGAGGTGCGTGGGACGGGGCGGGGGAGCGGGGGGGGGGGGGGGTGTTAAACTCAGGTGTTCCATCGGCCAAACATGCATTCAGCCTCTTGACTCATCTCTCCAGAGTCTAGTTTTCAAGGAATGAAGACTGGGTCTCTGGCTATATGCCAAGCACTCTGCTAAAATTCCACACTCATTCTTTGGTAAGACTAACACTTACGTTTAGAACCTTCACCTCTAAAACAGGGACATTATTGACTATTATAATTGACCATTATGGAAACAATATAAAATAAATATCTTAGGGACACTTAACTCCACTTCTGATAATGTAATTGTACAGATTAATTTAAAATAGCAAGAAAAATGGTTACCACCATTGAGGTTCCTAATCTCAAGATCAAGTAACTGGGTGGCTGGAGAAGTGACAAGGAGGTAAGGTGCTTTCTTTGTGTGTGGCTGACTCGGGTTGAATTCCGGGAACCATATATGGTCCCTGAGCTTCCATAGGAGTGACACTTGAGCACAAAGCCAGGAGAGTAAGCCCAAAACACTGCTGGCCCCCAAACAAAACAAACAAACCAAACAATGGTCAAATAACTGTTTAGCTAAGAGTCTATTTCAAAAGTTTCCAAACTTTTTTGGCATATTGCCTCCTTTTCAGAAGCACAGTTACTCAGCACCTCCCTGGAAATCTACGGACTTTAAGTGAACAAAGTAAAAGTACCTCTGGATTGTGCCTGAAACTACCTTTGCCCTCCCTGTCCCCCTCCTCATTCGCGGGCTCCCTGAGAGAGAGAGTATCACTCACTGATTTACTTCAGTGATATGTTGGTGTAGTGCTGACTGGGGTTGCACACATGGTTTTGGTGTGCTAGAAATTACACACTTAGCTGTAACACTGGAATCACCAATATAAATGTCATTGAGATGGAACGTGGTATGTGGTGTGGTACTTGCTATCAGTCTTGCATATAACTCTGAGCTATCCCTTGTGTTCAGATATCCATGTTTTAATGATTGGGGTTATTTGCTTTATGATTTGCACTGGAGACCAAACAGAGAGTTGCAATATAAAAGAGTAGTTAGAAATATAAATTCTGGAACCACATTGCCTGTATTCAAATCTGAACTCATTACTCACTGGTTGTAAATTTTGGGAAAGCCACTTAAGATGGCGGTGCCTCTGTTTTTTCATCTCTAAAATGGGGTTGATAAGAGTAGTATATTTGTCGTTAAAGTTACTGTGAGAATTAAATCATCATGTGTCAGACATTTACATTATACCCAATACGTACCCTTTAAATATCAGCTTTTATTAGTAGTAGTTATAAATCTTTATTGCTCTCTTTAAAAATAATCAAAGTGTGGAGAATAGAAAGTATAGTGCAGCAGGTTGGGCACTTGCCTTGTACATGTCCAACCCAGGTCTGATCTCCACACCCCATATAGTTCTCTGAACCCTGAGCAGAGCCAGGAGTAAGCCCTGAGCACTAACAGGTAATTTGTAATTTAACATTTGAAGAAAAAAAGTCAGTTCCTCAGTTACCAAACAAGATATTTACCTGATATGATGTGAGCATAAATTTGGACAGAGAGCTATAGAGGGACTTGAAAGTATTTGTATTTGCTAGATATTCTGTTTAAAAAGTGAAAGTAGACTATAGACCAAACATGATTGCCACTCAATGCCTCTTTTGCAAACCACAACACCCAAAAGGAGAGCGAGAACAAAAGGGTATGCCCTGCCACAGAGGCAGGGTGGGATGGGGGGGATGGGGGTGGGAGGGATACTGGGATCCGTGGTGGTGGGAAATGGGCACTGGTGGAGGGATGGGTATTTGATCATTGCATAATCGAAACCCAAGCACAAAAATTTGTAAGTCTACAACTGTGCCTCATGGTGTCTCACTAATAAAAAAAAGTGAAGTGATTCTTACTTGAGCACTTTGCTGAGGTAGAGGTAAGGTAACTGTACATCAAAATCATAAGCATTAATGCATTTTTAACATATGACCCAAACTGTAATAATTAAATTTTTAAAGAGTTTGCCAAGGGGTAAAGTCAGAGGAATGAAGGTGACTTTGAGATAGTGGTAGATGAACACTGACAGTACACATAGGTGTGGAGTTGTAGCTATTTTCTGGAGACTGTCATTTCAAGCACCGAGTCAGAAGGAGAGGGACAGACATAGAATGATTGCACTCGTTTGTGAAAAATATATATAGATATATTTTTTTAAGTATGAGACTAATATCCAAGGGCAGTAGAAATACAGACCAGGAGGACTGGTTCATGGTTGGAAGCTTGCCACAAATGTCTGGGGGTCATAGGGCAGTTGGGATAGAGAAAGAACCACTATGACAATATTCGTTAGGAATGATCACTCTGGATAAGAACTGATTGCTAAGGTGTGATAAAGAGATATTCATGAAAACTTTTTAGTACCTATATTGCAAATCATAAGGCCCAAAAGAGGAGAGAGAGAGAGAGAGAGAGAGAGAGAGAGAGAGAGAGAGAGAGAGTGTGTGTATTCCATAGAGGCAGCAGGCTGGGGGGTGGTGTCAGAAGGGAAGCTGGGGACATTGGTGGTGGGAAATGTGATGGGTGTTGGAACATTGTATGACTGAAACCCAATCATGAACAGCTTTGTAGCTGCGGAGCTCATGGTGATTAAATACAAATAAATGTATAAAGAATAAAATCATCTTTGCAAACAACCCCTCCACTATTATAAATCATAGTGCTACATAAAACCCACTAATAAAGAACCTTAATAGGGTTTGCTTACATCCATAAGACATGCTTAAATCCATGCATTTTCTTGCATGAAACTTATACACCAGTAATAGAAACATCAACATTGTTTTAATTTTAAAATTAATTGAACTCATTTCCCCAGTTTTAGCTTGTTGTTATCACTTAGATGACCAGAGAATCAGAACAACTGAGAAACCTTGAAGGTTTAATAACCTTTGCTTCATCAAATCATTCATCTCCAACCAGCATTTATTTAAGACACAAAGTGCCTTCTAGGTTGCCTTCTGATGGTGTGACTTCCTGACTTTCTTTGGTATAAGTGCTATGCTTTTGCTCAAAAGGTTTATGGGAATACTTCCTAAAACTGGGGTCAAAAAGTTGCACTGAACTGGGCAAGTAAAAATATTTCTGTCATAAATCAGCTATGGGACTTAAGACACTTTAGACTTAGTACCTCAGTGTGTGACGTGAGGAGACGAGAAGGAGGCGATCTCAGCAACTGCCTTTCCCTGTCCTCTCACAGAAACTAGTATGACATGAGAGATTTGTGAGTTGCATCTTACAGGAAATTAACACAAGTCTAAATGCTATGTGTGGAGTTGCAGTAATTCTCTAATGATTTCTACAGGGGAGAGGTGACAATTAAAATTCACATATGGCGGTATTATTATTTTAGTGCTAGGGATTGAACACAGAACTGCATACATATGAGTTATGTACTCTACCACTACCACTGAATTATAAGGAGACTGATAGTCTCCAAGGACAGTCTTCCTTCCCTCCCTCCCTCCCTCCCTCCCTCCCTCCCTCCCTCCCTCCCTCCCTCCCTAGCTCCTTCCTTCCTTCCTTCCTTCCTTCCTTCCTTCCTTCCTTCCTTCCTTCCTTCCTTCCTCCCTCCCTCCCTCCCTCCCTCCCTCCCTCCCTCCTTCCTTCCTTCCTTCCTTCCTTCCTTCCTTCCTTCCTTCCTTCCTTCCGCCCTCCATCTCTCCCTCCCTCCCTCCTTCCCTTCTTCCCTCCCTCCTTCCCTTCTTCCCTCCCGCCTTCCCTTCTTTACCATACAAGATCATTTAGACCTTTTTTTTCCTTTCAGACATTC